CTTCTCATGTGAGTGGAATTTTGCAATTGCATTATCTCCTTTGGGGGTGGATACTTTTTGATATTTATGATTAGAACAAAATTTTATGTGATCATTTAAAGTACTTTTTCTTTCAAAACCATTTAAACAAAGTTTACAAAATTTCCTTGCCGATGATTTATCAGATATTAGTCTATTAAAGTTTCTAATTAAAAAATAATGAGATTTATATAATAACAAATTTATTTCTTTTTCAAATTGAAATTTACTTATATAGATCGGATAAATTAATTTCTTTTCGTACCCATATACGTGAATATTTAAACAATTATTTTTTTCAAATGTTGGAATATTTTTCACATTTACTGGAAATTTTAAACGATTTATATTTAGATACTTTAAATATTTCCTATACAAATATATAGAATTTCTATTAGTACTAGTTGAGGGATATAAATGTGCAACTATCTATATATATAACCCATTCAACTGTCCGTCTGTCCCGTAACCGTTTGAAAACGGACACTAGAGGCGCCCCTATCGTGTATCATATTTCAAACATTCAAATTAACAATTTTAATTCTTATTTAAATTAACGATATAAATTTTTATTATTCATTTTGCCAATAAATTATTATATTTGGTCAATATAACAATATAAATAATTCAGTATATTTGTAATAGGAATTTATTATTTCAGGGGCTTATATCTCTCGAAGAATCGCGAGTAGGGGTATGGCTCCTTTGACTTTATTGTTAATACAGGGGTGTACGGTTTGGGGGTTCGCCACCTCTTTATTCGGAGAGTAAATCTTACCATTGGGACTTTAACGGAACTGTACAGCATATTGATAGGAACAAAAAAGTCAAAGGAACCGTGCCTCATGGAAATTTGTGTATAACGCCCACTAGGGGGCGTCCCGGGCTACTAGTTTACATATAAAATACACCTCACCTAACGTAATTTTCGCGTAACGTCACTCGATTTTGCACAGATTTATAACGTTACGTGGAAATCAGCAGTGACGTGCCGTGACATTTGACGATAGGAAAGCTGTGTTTCTGTAATAAGCCGATATTCAGGGGCAATCAGTCAATTGAGCGTCGGTGATGGTCTAGGGCCGTGGTTCTTAACCTGTGGTTCGTGGACCACTGGTGGTCCCTGAAAGCACCCGAAGTGGTCAGCGAAGTTATCCCAAAATTATTAAATAAATGACGACGAGTTGATGACAATGCGCAGTACGTCAAGGTTAGAGCCGATAGCGGACTGGGCTGGGGTATGGTGCGCGGTCAGAAAATACTGTATGAAATTGGAAGGCACTAGCAATAAATTTCCATTTGAACATAAAATCAGCGCGTTTATCGCTAAAATCGACCTATGGATCAGCAAAGTCGAAAGAGAGAATTTTTCTGCGTTTGATACATTGAACCCAATTATTGATTGACAGCGTGCTGAGATTAAAGGACAAATACAAAAAAAAAACATTCCATTCTATTTGCAAAGCTTGAAAAATGAATTCAATCGCTATTTTCCTGACTGCAAGGACAAAGGTATTCGGAAACTGATTTGCAATCCTTTCATAGCCAATATTTCTGAGGTGCCGGATGAAATACAAGAAGAGTTAATTGAAATGCAACATGATAGTAACTGCAAGGATACATTCGAGGCAGGAATTAATCTTAAAGATTTTTGGAGCCAAAAAGCTATTACTTTCCCTAAAATTCGAGAAATTGCTTTACAGTACCTAACTTTATTTTCAACCATATATTTATGCGAGCAAGGATTCTCAGTGCTTTTGATAATTAAAAATAAACATCAAAATCGGTTGGATGCCAGTGCCGACATGCATTTGCTTTGAGTAGCACTAAACCAAGAATTCAGCAGTTGGTAAACAGTATGCAGTCACAAAAATCGCACTAAAATAATATAATTAATGTAACACTTTCGCAAATAATATATTACTCTTGGTTCCAAATAATTTTCTACGTGTTTAATTTATAGAACAACCTTATATGAACCTATATTACTGCCAAACAGCTCGTGGTCCATGTCAAGACGAAAATTTTGATAAACGGTCCCTCATCACTAAAAGATTAAGAACCACTGGTCTAGGGTCCATTCGTATCGTTTATTCGATAAGCCAGTAAAAAACCATAGACTTCTCTAAATGCATTTTTAATATCACAATTAGCTCCCTACGAGTGGCTAATGGATGGAATCGAAGACGGTTGCAGAGCGTGCATACACGCGGACTGCCAAATCACCAGGGTGCCGATACCGGTCAATGTCAAATGCTCTTTTGTCGCATCACTAGTATATCTCAAAGGACGCGACCGGGCTGTTGTAGATTTTAAACGTTTCTCGCCTAGCAGTAAAAATCTAAATATGTTAAACTTAAAAGTCATTTGTTTTCTAACTAATTCGTTTTAGGACCAGGTGTCCACGGAAATTTCCAAAATTTACAACTTTTCGATCACTCTCGTTGAACTGGAAAAATTTCTGTTTATATTATGTCTATATATACGTCTAGTTTGATAAACTTACCAGTAAATTCTTATCGGTTGGGTTAAGTTATAAATCTACTGGTGATTCACGTAATCGGGCGAGGGCGGCCAAATATCTAGCGGGCCTAGATATTTGGCCCGCTAGACCGGTTCTGGGTTAACATCCCAGAACCGGCCCTGGATAGAATTGGATGCGGTATACGTGTAGCATCCACCCGAGGTCCTAGGCTTCCACCAGCTAAACCAGGTGAGGTTAGTTCTCTGTAAAGCGCATGCGCGAATCTGGCTTTTTGGATGCTGACGATACAGCGCTTCCACTCCGCCACTAATATTCGAATATACAATAGCAATCTTTTTTTTCACGTGTAGTATAAAAATTGTAATAAGATACATAATGCGGTTATAATAAAATATTGCACGATTATTTTCATATAATTAAAATTAATATGTATTTAATTTTTAGAAAATACAAGGGAAGCGGCGCATCCACCGCTTCCAATGACGGCACGCTACTGGTAACTTATCACGTTTTCTACCCAAAACATTCAGTTATAAATAACACAGCTGCAAGTCATGTATAAAATATAGAAAACAAATTCTTGATAACTTGTTTTCTAGTTTTTTATACTATTCTGGAAAATTTATTACAGTAATTATTTTAAATATTTTTTTTATTAAGTATACTTGCATAAAGAAAAAGAAAAGAGAATATCGCGTCATTCTACCTTCAAGACAAACAAGGATTTGATTTATAATCCAATTGTTATTAATAGCATTTCCTTCCTTTAGACCAATGATTCCCAAACTTATTATGCTCACGGACCCTTTCTCATAGCAAAAATCTGACCATGAATCTCCAACTGAAATAACTCCACACAACTACATAATAGCACAATTACAAATTTTACTTTGAAGTCTTGAATGGTGACGTAAAAATAAAATATAAATAAAACATTTTCATATTTAAAGTAATATTTATTGAAATTACTAGCTAAAGTTTTCCCGCTTTTGAAAAACTGATATGTAGTTTTTTTTTTATTATAGTGTAGGACCTACAAACACTTGTCTTTTTCTTTTACCCGTGACCACTGTGAAAGGCTTTGCGACTCCCCCTGGGGGTCGCGACATACACAAGTTGAAAAACACTGCTTTAGACGTTTCTTGAAAGGAGACATATTAGCAGCGATCCTCATTATAATTTAGAATATAAAAATTTCATTCATGTCTTAAGGTTTTTGTTAAAACATTATGACAAAAACATTGTTTATATTCACTTTATGAACACGTTGTAAACTAATTAATGTAATTATATACACAATTAGATAATTTAACTTACTTTGAATACTCATTTTTTCAAATCTTTTTCGCTTTGAAAAATTTCGCATCTAACAACAATCGCTTCAAAGAAACAATTTGATTTGGCAATTGTTACAATTATATTATTAACATTTCTTATTAACGTAACAATAGAAAACGAAGAGGTGCGTCTAACAGCGAATGCGGTTATCAGTTAACAGCTCGGAATAAACTCGATAAAACAAATTTTGAGAATTTAGTTTGAAAGAATATATTAATATTTTTTTTTTTTTAATTAAGTAAGATGTAAACATGAAACTTAACATGACAAAAATTTCTTTTCACCTACAGAAATTTTTAATAACCAACAGTTTTCTAATGCATGTGTGAGATGAATAGATGAATATAGATGAATATGTTATCGTAGACCATATTAATAAATTATACGCTGCTAAACACGCAATTATTTTATTTGCATAACATTGCATAACCGTTAATGTTATAGCTTAATATTGTACTATTTGCGTTATAAGGAGTGACAAAACGCCGATAAATGCAAAAAAAGAAAAAAAAGACGAGGCGAAACCAAAATTTGACCAATCACAATAGTTTTCTTATTTCTGTAATCGATAATAGCGGGGAGTGTAATTACAATGTGTTTGAAAACCCGCCAAATGTATCAAAATTTTTTGCTGGCAATATAATATAATATAACAGAAATTTATCGATTTCTTATAATTTGGCTCGCCACCAATCTAATGGTCTTACATATCAAATGGTCACTCGCGAATAATGTCTTTGATAAATGAAAAGTAATTTGTTCATTTTCAAGGTGAGTTGCTTAATGGTCGCGAATTTAAACGAATAGTATAAACTAAATTCGTGTCTGTCAGAATATCGTTAACAGACAGATAATTGTTAATTAAAAGAATATGAAGATTGCCGAAATACACTTAGTAATAATAATTTCAAATGTAGAAAAAAAAATTGGCATTAGGCTATTACTTTTGATAAAACGGTTTTCGTTTTAAAATTATCAAAACTTTCTTTACATTTAATGGAAACATTTTACATCGTTTTTTATGAGATATTTATTACCTTGTGTCGTTATTGATTAATTTGATTACAGACCATTTCTAACTATTGATATAATAAAATTTAAATACTAAACAATTTTGCGATTGATAATTCTGTAGCCAACTACTGAAAAATTCACAAAATAATTGAATCACTAATATCCTGGGGTGCAAACAAGAATGTAAAGATACTTTTACTTCATTTCAGTCTAATCTTGAATTATTTTGCGAGTTTTTAAATATATTTATTGTTTTGTCCATCTGCATTATCGATTTACAAAATCCCTGGAAGTATATTTACGAAGCAAAAAAAGAATGAAACGATTTTGTAGATTTTGTGGGTCACGTTTACTGAAATTGACTGGAAGGCTGGAACTCGTTCACCTCTTAATATTTTTTTTAAGTGGGGTGGGCCCTTAAACTCGAAGGAAAAAAATTGTAATAAATGAAAGTTTTAAAATATATAAATAAAAGAAATAAATTAGAATTTGTTTAAACAGATTCCAGCTCCTTTAATGCTTGTGAAGTCAAAAGTTTCGTTTATCTGTTGAAGTAATAAATATAACTCGTTGAAGACACATTATATAATGAATTGAATATCTCAAAACGCATGAAAAATAAAGAACAGGTGTTGAGAAAATAAAAAATTTTATAGAAGAAAAAGCGTATTTTCTTTATTTTTTTTTCTTATGTTTATAAATATACTTGGGACTAAATAGAACGGGGTAAAACGGTTGGACTTCGCTTTCGGCATTATGCTTTTCGCGCGCTGATTGTGTTGTACTTTATTCAAATATTATTTATAAATTTATATGTAGAAAAAATTGGTCGAGGATATGCGTAATGTGTGGGTAAATCTGAGTGCGGGTATGTTTGGAGGAATAAGGGAGCGTTAAAGAATGGGATTGCAGTTAACAAATACAGTAAGGGAGCGTTATAGAATGGGAAATGCAGTTAACAAATACTATATAAATTAGGTTGAGCTGTTTATACAGTATATAAACAGCTCAACCTAATTTGTAGACAATCCATTTTTACCTGCTGATTAAAGATAGCTGTAAAAGCGCATATAGTTTTCGTTGAGCTTTTTTTTTTGTTTTGTAAATAGATTTTAGTTAGAGACTTTTACATTACTTTTTATATAAGGTATGAATATTTCATATTGAGTGAGACATGCCTTTAAACATTGAGCATCTAACGCAAATAATAGCCACTTTCAACAGACTCAACATTTTTAATTGCACAGAGGTATGGTAACGGTATCAGCTACATAACGGCAATGGATCTGATGAACGATGAATTACGAGTTGATGCGAGCGGCTGATAGCGCTACAGAAAGTTCTGCTCGTTTCTACCAACTTAAAAATATTCGAAAAATAAATCATACTAATTTTTAATTAATGCACAGATCTGTTTTCTGTTGCCGATAGCTACGTGTGTGGAATGAGTAATAGTATAATGCGAGCTTTCATATTTGTAAATAACATCTACTTCGCTTGTTTTGAGAGTGCAGTCATCTTTGATCATATGTTGCTACCGAAATTAGAATAAATGAAGTTTTTTTTTTACCAAATATGACGTCAATAAACATGTCCTTAAGGAGCGGTTGTTTAAGGCGTTCAGCAGAAAAATACTCTGCTGCCCGGAACTGTTCTGTTTGCAGAACGTGGCCAAAGTTAATAGTTTTATACGACGAATTCTATTGACTGAATTCGTAATTATCGGATAGTCTGAAACCATACGCTGTCACTTAATTAATATCGGGATATCTAAGTTAAGTCTACCAATTTTGTAAATATTCGGACTAATCCTAAATGCGTTCGGAAACACGAATGTTTCTGTACACAATGGAAACAGGAAGTTTACGTTAAACACTTTTAAAACATGAATGAGCAGACCAGATTAGCATCTTATATGCTTATATGAACATGGAAGTTCTATTGCCGTTATATACCGAAACTTCGTCGACTGTTTTCTATGCCGAAAACAGATGAAACTAGGCTTCCTGATTCAGACGATTAGCCAATTCTCCTTCTCAAACTAGACCTACTATAAAAATTATTGCTGTTTTGGCTTATTTTTAAGAATCATATCGTTTACCTCGTTTAAAATAAAACTGTAAAGAAATATGAATGATGAATTAATTACCGTTAAAACCAAGTACGTTTATTTCTATTTTATTTCCTTAGTTTCTGTTTTCTTCCACCAAATTATTATTATGATATTAAGATAATGTTATAAAAAAGCCAACTTTTGTGTATAAAAATCACTTAATTATAATAGTGGTTTTCAACCGAGATGCTGCAACTCACTGAGGTAATGTACCATAATGCCATTTCAGGCGTACCGAGAAATATAGTGCTGAGCAGCGCCATAACAGTTCTTACGTGTATTACTAAAAGTACGTAAACTGCAACAGTCCTAGTAAAGAAGTAGAAGTGCTGCAAGAAAAAATAATTATTAAGTTGGAGTACCATTATTAGAAAAAAATTTTTAAAATTGACTTAAATCAACAGAATTAAATATTCTTTATTAATATTTATATGAATATTATTAATGTTTTAAAACTTTTCTGTATATTTATATATAGAAAAATACTAGATTAAATTTGAAGTATTTTGGATTTTTGTCTGAAATCAGACCGACATCAATAGCACAAATTTTTTAAAGTTTTTTTCTACCTATGAATTTAATTAAAAACGTTTATGTTTTGTGTGAAAGACTGTTTTTATATCGATAACAGCATATAACTTATTAGTAAATGATATAAATAAATGGTTGTAAATGAATAACATGGGAATATAATCATTCCTAAAAAGTAACCATAAAGTTTAAATCTATATATATATATATAAAAATGGACATGTATGTCCCTATATCTCACTTTTTCGCCAAAACTACACATCGCACGTGAATGGTGTTTGTATGTGGTGGTAGCCCCAAGTCTCCATTCGTGCATAGGGGTGGTTGCGTCTCGATAGCTATAAGGGTGCGGGAGATATGAGGCTGAAAGTGGTTGAAAGTGGCTTTCTATTTCGAATGTTTTGTT